GCCGAAGGCCCGACCATCGCCGCCGGCAGGCCAAGCAGGCCCGGCCCCTGCCGAACGGAGTTGCCGGCGCAGCGAAGTGGAGCTGGCAACTCCATTTGGCGGAAGGGCGGGCCTGCTTGTCAAAGATATCTTATGAATTATTTAACTGAGCAGAGGGCAACAAAACCCTAACCTCCTCCTAAAAACAAATATCTATTTGAAAATGTGATAGCTGCTCAGTGATCGAAAAGATTGCTTTCAACTTGATTTTAATTGTTATAAGTCTTCCTTTCAGAGTTGCAGCAGTGCGATGATGATATTACCGTTTTGTTTCTGTAGTCTTTTACTAGCTTTTGCTTGTATTGACGGCAGGTGGATGAACTCCAACATTGTAAGTTGATATTTTCAGAAATTATCAGGGTAGATATCTTTGACTAGAGCCCTACGACGACTGAAGCTGCCACTTCGCCTCTGCCTACAAAATCGGCCTTGTGTCCTCACCGCTAGTTTCTTATATTTGGGCGACCTACAGAGTCGCACTTTTGTGAGATTTTGACTTCATAACTAGAATCAGAGTCCCTTACTTCCGACTTGCGCCCTTAAGTTCGACATTGTGCCGTATTTCACTATTATCGCCTACCAATCCATAATGCGTAGACAAATTTATCTTTTATGGGCTTGCTGGGCAGGTTAGACCACCAAGTTTCTATTTCTGCCAAAAATATATATGTATGAGTGATATTGCTTTCTCTAGCAATCCCTGAAAATTGTTGGCTGAGCGTTACCCGCATGGAAATAAGTATAGCTAAATGACACTTTTAGGTGTACTTTTCTAAAGGGTACACATAAAGTATACTTTAAGTATAGCAGACTGCCACGGCCCCACTTTGCTGGCACTTTTGGCATACTTTTTGTATACTATTTGTATACTTCTTGTATACTTCTTGTATACTTAAAGTATACTTTTTGTATACTTTTACTTTTTGTATACTATTTGTATACTTCTTGTATACTTCTTGTATACTTAAAGTATACTTTTTGTATACTTTTACTTTTTGTATACTTTTACTTTTTGTATACTTTTACTTTTTGTATACTTTTCAGACACTTTGGCCAGTCACATTTTTAGGGACTTATTTCCATGTGGGTTAGCAAAGCCTTTGCTGTCATGAGGTGCAGTGCACTCTTTGGTCGTGTGTCTGTCTGTCTATCTGTAATCACAGACGTTTCTCAAAGACATTAACTTCAATTGACTTCAAACTGCGCACGAAGCACCAGTCCGGTGTATCGAGTTTAGTTTAGAAGTTTGATATAAGATGTTTGAAATAAGCGATCGTTTAATTTGAATTCGTAGTTTGGTGGTAGGAGGTTGGTAGCACGGCACTCAAGGGGAGGGGGAGCGCAAGTGGCTTCTGCGCCCACCTGAAGACTTTAATACCTTCTCAGCATTTCGACTTTGATCGGCTCTGAGCACAAGACATTTCTATTTAATTTTGCAAAGGGAATCCAAATCTGGGATTGCACTTTAAATTTGATAACTTTTACCAAATTGCAATTTTACAAATTTTTCATTGGAACAGAAGATAATGGTGTTCAGCCGTCGTAAAACGAAAATAGGTCATTTTATCTTACAAAAAGGCATCTTAAAAGGTTTATGCTACTCACAAATAATTTTCTCAATAGCAATATACTTGCAAGGGACCGAACAATATTAGAGCAATAGTTGCAACTTATTGTAGGAAAAGCCGTTCAAAATCAGAACGAGATTTATAACTCTCTTACATTGACTAATTTTTTCTAGAGCCATATTATTTCTAATGACATCGAAATAAAATGGTGAGAGAATTTAAATTACATTCTGTAATCAGATATATTACAGAACTTTCAATTTTTAAGCTAAATGACTCGTGACCATTAAGGTAAGGGTCTGATGAAAAAATTGCAATGTTTGTACAAATATTCTTAAATGAGTTCCCGCCGAAAAAACACATTGTTTGGACCTCTCTCCTTTGGGGAAACCATTTAAAGTTTAGGAAACATCTCTACTTTTTTTATTTTCGATCGGTCTGCCCAATGGCTCTTGTGGCTTTTTCGACAAAAGCCTGTTGTTGATAGAGATCATTTTGTGGAACTTTGAAAAACTTCTTGCGCAACAGGTTGTGAGGTAGAAAGCTGCCCTTTGATTTGTGACTTCCTTCCAGTGTTTACTAGGACTAATAGGTGAGCTTTTTCTCAATTTCTTTCTAGATTTTTGGAACAGCTCTAAAAGTGGTCAAAATCGGCCAAAAACGTTACTTTTTGGAGGAAACATTTTTAACAAAATTGTGGATGCTGCCTAAATAGAAAAATTGGGAATGTCTCACTGATCAGACCTCAGAAAAAGCTTAGTGATACTAGATAATCTAGGGACCCTCAAGCCCAAAAGAGGGTGTGGTACGAACCCTCACGTGTGGTTGGCTGAGCGATTAGCGAAGCCTATTACTCCAGTGATGATCGAACAGTCTCGCGTCTGTCTGTCCGTGTGTGTGTCTGTGTTCCTGTTTGTCTGTCATCACGATAACTCGAGAACGAATTTAGCTAGCGACCAGGGATTTTCAAGGTCGTTTTGTGTCATAAAAAGACAGATCAAGTTCAAAGAAGAGCATTCTAGCTCAAATATTGGATTTTAAAAGAAATCAAAAATCACAGGTCCCCAAAACGACGTTTTTTAAAAATATTTTTTTTTATGTGTCCTAAGGGGTAACTCATCAAAGTAGAGTCCTCTATGGACGAAAACTTGGTCCGTTTGGCTCTATCTCTAACCGTTGAGGAGCAAGAGGCTGTTTTCCACTCGGAAATAACCCCAAACCATTGCAATGTATTTTCTCAGATATTTGATGGTCTCCGGTGCAGAGCCCTGCACCGAGCGAGCTAACCGGGCGTCGCTCGGCTAGCGACCGGCTGCAGCTAGGCACGAGGCATGCCCGCTCGGTTGACATCTTCGCCCGCTCGCCGCCCGCTCGCTAGGGAACAAGGCATGAACTCGGCATCTGGGCCGCCTGGCTGGAGCGAGAGAGAGAGAGACGAGCCAGCCGTAGCGGGTGGGAGAGAGACGCAACATAGGCAGATTCGGCTACCTGGTGCGCGTCACATTCGGCAAGTCTACGGAAGCTGCCGAAGCTCGCTCGTGCGGCGTGGTCGCGAGACGTGGTCTGGCGTATATCTACCTAGTATTAGTATTACTCCCTTAACAATTCTGTGACATGAAGCCTTTTTTACGATTTAATAGACCGTTTTGTCTTTTTCACGTTCTTTTCGCCAATAAATGCCCTATAGCACCGAAATTGTACAAGATAGAGCAAAGCAGACGAAATTTTCGATCACAGGGATCTACTTTCACGAGTTACCCCTTAGGAGCCCATAAAAAAAGATTTGATAAAAGAATTTTTGGCGACCTGTGGTTTTTAATTTTTAAAAAGTCCATTTTTCAGCTAGAATGCTCATCCTTAAACACGATCTGTCTTTTTGTATGATACAAAACGACCCTGAAATTCCAAGATCGCTCTCTCGATTCTTCTGGAGTTTTCGTGCGGACAGACAAACAGGATGAAACTTTTCCGGTCAGTGGAGTAATGGGCTTCGCTAATCGCTTAGCCAATTATTTTAAAAGGGTTATGGCTCAGTATTGTTGATAACACTGGGGCTTGGCTCAGTGTTGTTGACAATACTGGGCCTTGGCCCTCGTGAACACTACCCATTTAGCTGTTGTACAAGCAGTGATACGTAAAGTATCTGCTTAAAAAAAGAGTGTCTCTAATTCCTATGATGTGGTCGGTCAGGCCGGCGTGGGAGAATGGCCATTCATGTCCACAATGTGGTCATGCCGGCGATGGGAAATAGTCGTTCATGAACACTGCTGCCCCCCTGCCGGCCTGCTCACATTGTGGTCATTCCTGCCTATCCCCCTCGCCGGTTTGATCACATCGTGGTCACAAACGGCCATTTCCCCATGCTAGCCTGACCACATCGTGGACATAAACAGCCATCCCTTAGCCGGCCTGACCACATTGTGGACATGAACGGCCAACCCCTTGTGCCGGCCTGTCTACATTGTGGGCATTCTAGACGCCTTTTTTGCCCTAGCCAGCCCTAGGTCTGCCTGCAAGCCCGGAACTCTGCATAGTTTTTGAGCTTTTAGGACTATATTTCAGTTATGCTCTTGTTTAGCGGTGAAGGAGCCTTTGCATGTTTGGCCTGGAATAAATGTAGATTCTTGACTAGCATTCTCGGCCGCAATTTCTTGGCTTAACATTGTGGACAGTTCGTCCGGAGCGATATCTAACCATGTCCACAATGTGGTCAGCTCGTCGGCATTCCAATTTTGCACTACATTCTATATGTGACCGATAGGGAAGCAAACTGTCGAAAATTTGATGTTCTTGTGCGTATACGTTCTGACTTTTAATCCGCAACAGCTGCTGAAGAGAATAACTTTTCGTGGGCTATTCGCACCAGCTGGTGCATATAACATTTGGTGTCCTATTTACACCTGCTGGTGCAAATAATATTTCGATCCTTGGATGCACCAGAGCTGGTGCATATAAACAGTATCCTATTCGACGCCTTCGGTTGTCGGGACAGTGTTGCGTCCTTCGCCATACGGATTGTACAGTATCGTGCGGGTTGATAAGTAGGACCTATGGCGTAACACTTCCACCTGGGGCGAGGGGGTAATCACTCCGTGGAAATGCGTACACCTCAACTTTTCACTTTTCCACTTACATTCACTTTTCCACCATTTTACAACGTTTACTTCATTTCTATGCCTATATCCCCTCTATTTTATTCATTTTTGATCTGATCAATGCACGATAAGTCACCTTTGACCATATTTTCTTTCAGTTTTCATCACTTTCAGTCAACTTTTTGTCACTTTCACTTTAACAGAAATGTGTACACCTACTTTCTGTGATTACCCCCTCGACCTGGGGTATCACCCTTTATTTAAGAGGCTTCGCGCGTGCGGCAAATCGCAGTCTACAACGAAAATCGCGATCCGATTGTTAACGTTGTCGCACAGTGGTTATACTTTGCACAGTTACTCCTAAAGATACAAACTACTATTTGAAGGTCGAACCTCGATAGCGTCTTTTTAGTTAGACGACCTAGCTCGGCACCAAAATCTGCCTCACTACATGCCGACCAAAATTCCTAACTGTCGAATCACTGCTTTGATTCCGGAAATTTAAGTTTCAAGTTCGTGATACGAGCCCAGGTTCATTCACTGACATTGATTCTTTCGACCAGTTGAATATGCGTAGGAGTACGTGCGGCAGCCCGTAGTGGCTGAGCTTTAGTCGTTAGTGTGCTAAAATTCTCATATGTAACGGTTAAAGGAATATAGTACTAGTAATGTACAGATGGAAGGCCAGGGAAGAACAGGAAAGGAGGGGGGGGGGCACTGGTAAATTTAAAAATGACCAAAACAAGTATGGTTTTTGATTTTCCGATGTCATTTTTAGTTCTCAGTAATTTGAAGTGGGAGTGTGCTGACTTTTGACTTTTACAAATGAATGCTGTTAGCAGATTCAACTTACAATGTAACAAACAGTAGGACAAACAAATGTCGTATAACTGTGGGTATGGCAAACCCTTGTCACAACCAGCTAGGGAAATTCTATTCAATACCCTCACTTGCCTCTGCGTGAAGTGAAGTCCTCCAATGAAGTATCTGGATTTTTAAAAAGTTATCAAATTAAAAATGTATTCACAGACTAAGATTCCTCTTGTAAAATTAAAAAGGAAATGTCTTATGCTCAGAGCCGATCTGAGTCGAAATGGAGAAGTTATTAGCCCTCAAATAACGATGGGCGGATTGCCAAGGCCAAATTGGTCCAAATTGAACGTTCGTGGGGTGCGTTTTGTTCGTCTCGGCGAGATACGACCCTCCAACCCCTCGGGTTGAGAACGAAAACTGCCGTCAGAATTGACCTCCGACGCACCGTTTGGCCGCTAGGGGCGATTGAACACTTTATTGAACATTTAAACATAACTCTGCCATTTTGATTCCGATCGTCCTGGAGCATAGAATTATTTCTTTCCTTTTTGTCAAGATAAACCCGCAATAATGGTTACCTTTTCATATTCCTCCCAAACCACTACCCCCCCCCCCTCTCCTACTTACGTTAGTGAACACGTAAACCATTCCAAATATCACTTTCGCGTTCTTTCTCATTGGAGACTCGCGAACCTTCGTAAGCTGAGATCCGCAACTCTAAAACTAAAAATGAAACACTCGGTTTGACTATCTGACATTTTAATAACTGCTGAGAAAGTTTCAAAGTCTTCAGGTGAGCGCAGGAGCCACTTGCGCTCCCCCTCCCCTCGTGCACCGTGCTACCAATCTACCGCCACCAAACTACGAATTCAAATTAAACGATCGTTTATTTCAAACATCCAATTGCAAACTTGTAAACTAAACTCTTTAAGTCTCGACTTATAATGAAGCTTCGTGCGCAGTTTGAAGTCAATTGAATTTACCGTCTGAGAGAAACGTGGGCCGGTACAGACAGACAGACACGACCAAAGAGTTCTCTGCACCCAACATCACAGCAATGGCTTCGCAAGCTTAGCCAATCAATCTACTTTGGCTCCTTATCCTATACCGACTCACGCTAAGACTGCTATACGCTAATTCTCTTTTTCAGGGGCCATACATTCCAGTTTTTCTGAAGTTCAGAGAATGCGCAATTGGTGAAAATGGATATGATGGAAGTTCTCGGTACGTGATAACATTCACACGTTTTAATCCGTACAAAAGAAATGAGTTGCAAAAGTCGTCAACCAATTATACATTTAGCCAACCATTAAACGACTCATATTGGGTAAGCACATGGGATGGCCAGGTAATAGTTAACAATATCAAATGCACGGGAAAAAATAGGATAGTTGTGACAGCTAAAATATTAGATGGTTATGGTACAGGAAGTATGTTGGCAATGGCAGTTGACGCGCGCTCGTTAGGAGGGCCGAAAGCAATTTAGTTCGAAAAACTAACACATAGTTGAGACAACTAACGCATTGGTTGGGACGAGAAATGCGGCAACAGTAAAAAATATTCTGTTCAAAAAAGGATTTTTTATTTAAAAGTACACATTCTGTAGCCCGCCCTTCAGCTTTTAAACAAGCAGGCCCACCCTTCCGCCAAACGAAGGTGCCAGCTCCGCTTCGCTCCGCCGGCAACTCCGTTCCACCCCGAAAGGGATGTAACGGCGAAGCACCGCAACTACAACCCACTCTTCTGCTTAGAAAACGTATTTAGGGGCTAGGGGGAGGGTTTCTTTCCTATTTTGCGGTTTTTAGGCCTTTTTCTACAACGTATTGTTCACTATGGCAATTTTAAGCTTATTTTCGTCAAAAAAAAGACCCTCTAGCGCCTAAACGGTTAGAGATAGAGCAAAGCAGACGAAATTTTCGGCCAGAGGGTTCTACTTTGACGAGTTACCCCTTAGGAGAGCATTAAAAAAAATACTTCTGCGAGAATTTTTGAACCTTGGATACTCCTATTCACACCCTTAGGGGTGGTTGCCAGGATTTGCCGTAGGCGTTTCGTTCTCTAGGAGTGGGCCTTAAGATACCCTGAAAATTTCAAGTCTCTAGCACATCTTCTAGTGGAACAGACAGACCCACAGACAGACACAAGGTCGTTTGCAAGCCTGCTGGATAGCTTTTTCAAAGCAGAAGGGAGGGCTAAAAAGCATTAAAGCGAGCTTATGCAACCGCTCTCGTGTCCGTTCGTCCGTCCGTCTGTCTGTCCGTCGTCCGTGTAACAGGAAGGAGATGAGCTAGAGGTCTGCAAGTTTCAGAGTATCTTGGGGGTTACTCCTGGACAACGTAACGCCTCGTGCTGGTGCTAATCCTGGCAATCACCCCTAGGGGAGGGGGGTTGAAAGGGGGTAACCAAGAAATAGGGGTTGGTCCAATAAGTAGAAAATCATTTTTTTTAAATTGGTCCCTTAAGGGTTAACTCTTGCAAGTAGAACCCTTCGGGCTAAAATTTCGTCCATTTGCCTCTATCTTGCACCGTTTGGGCGCTAGAGTGTTTTTTTCGGCGGAAATACGGTGAAAATGACCACGTTGCACATGAAGACGTACAAGGAGGCGTCCAATCGTAAAATGTCAGAGGAATCCCCCCCCCCCCCAAAACAGCACATTTTGAGCCATACCCTCCGATTTACCGTTTCTTTAACCGTTTAGGAGCTAAAGGTACATATATAGAAAACAATAGCAAAAAGTCAAGTTTTAAGACTGTTTGACAAACAATATACAATCTGCGCGGGTCCTTTTTTTGACAAACAATATACAATCTGCGCGGGTCCTTTTTTATCCCGCCCTTCTGCTTTGAAAAAGCTGTCCAGCGGGCTTATGCAAACGACCTCGTGTCTGTCTGTGAGTCTGTGTGTCTGTCTGTTCCACTAGAAGGAGACGTGCTAGAGACTTAGAATTTTCAGGGTATCTTAAGGTTCACTCCTAGAGAACGAAACGCCTACGGCAAATCCTGGCAACGACCACCCCTAAGGGTGTGATTAGGGGTGTCCAAGGTTCAAAAATTCTCCCATAAAGTTTTTTTAGTTTATGTTCTCCATAGGTGTAACTCGTCCAAATAGAGTTCTCTGGACGGAAATTTCGTCCGTTTTGCTCTATCTTTAACCGTCTAGGCGCTAGGGGGCCTTTCTGACGAAAATAAGCTAAAAATTGCCTTAGTGAAAATAAGTTGTAGAAAAAGGCCTGAAAACCGCAAAATAGGAAAAAAACT